TGCCACGGCCCTGCTTGGCAAGGGCTTAGGTAAGACCCAGGTGACTGCCGTGGTGGGAGGTCTTAGCGCGGTTGTAGTTACCGCTTGTCACTACTATGGGCTTAGGGGGTGGACGGGGGCGTGTTTGTTACTATATGCGTGTATAGTGCAGCATTGGAAGTACAGCTGTGGCTATAGGAGCCCTTAGGAGAACTTCTCCTACAAGGAAGCTGTGGGGGGGCTTTTTACAAGGACCTGTAGTGACAGGACAAGGGATAACGGGTTTAAATTGAAAGTGGGGAGGTTTAGGTTGGATATCAGGAAGAAGTTCTTCCCGGAGAGGGTGGTGAGGCACTGGCACAGGTTGCCCAGAGAAGCTGTGGATGCCCCATCCCTGGATGTCTTCAAGGCCAGGCTGGATGAGGCTCTGAGCAACCTGGTCTAGCGGAAGGTGTCCCTGCCCATGGCAGGGGGGGTGGAACTAGGTGGTCTTTAAGGTCCCTTCCAACCCAAACCATTCTGTGGTTCTGTGTTTGTCAGTATTCCCGTGCCGGTAAGGTACTTTTAGCACGTGCAAGGATCTAGTCCAAAAGTGTTTGCCGTGTCTCTGCGTTCAAGGTTGGTGACGGAGATTGAAAACGTAGCTGAACCCGCAGTGGAGCCTGAGCTTTACGTTATGGGGAGCTGCGTGCTCCTCCCGCTGCAGAACGTTTCTCCGAGTGAGGAGAACGGCACGAAAAAGAAGTGAAAATCACTGCGGTGCGAATGGGCAGGGGGAGGGGAGCGTGGGGCGAGGCTGTGGTAGCCCCTGACAGCGGGGAAAACGCGGTGCCCGAACAAATTGCACTTGCCGTCTCACGCTGTAAAACTGAAAGCAGGCTTGCCTATGACTTTCAGGTTTGTCAGGGGAACTCCTCTGGCACACCCCCACTCATCTGAATTTAAGTGAATGTTGGATTTATCTAAATTTGTCACTAAATACCGGCATTTGTGTGATTAGGAGTTGTCTTGGTCTCCCGTTTTCTGATGTTTATATGTGGGTTTGTGGAAATTAACTCAGTTGTTAAACATTTTACCTAGATGGTCGTCACTGAAATCCCTTTATGAAGCATGCCGTTGGATTGGCGTTACTCTTGAAGAAGCAGAGCAGCTTGCCTAAATTCAGTGTGTAAAGAGGTTGTTTCCAGTGCAGTGAGAGTAAGGTTGCAAATACTAATGGAGTTTGTTCAAAACCAGTCTTTTTGCTATCTAATGACCAGACTGTTTCATACTTAAAAGCAATGGTGACAGTGTTAGAATTTCTCACATGGAATTAAATACTTAATACACATTTTGATAAAGCTCTTAAAAACAAAACTAAGTAATTGACCATGTGTTTAGAGGAGTTCAGCTGCACTTGGCCTGGATTATTATTTTGTAAATCATATTTTAACTAACTTATGCTGTTCTTTGCTCCACTTACGTTCATTTCTGAAATAGCTTCTCCTTGGTCCTTGCACAGTAAGCACATTTTTTTTCTGTCTGTCATATTATTTATGCAGACTGACTTTATAAGCTTGTTAGTTTATTTGCGTTTTTTGGGAGTTGGAAAGCCCTTTGGGGAACTGTTGTTTGACTTGATGTTTGGTGTAAAGTCAACACTCTTACTCAAAATGTATTTGTTTCTTTAAAATATTTCTAGAAAGTGACCAGTTGTGTTTGACTCTGAGAATCCCAGTGGAAGATGCCTGCCACAATGACCTTTGGTACTTGGCCATATAAGGGCTCTGATCTGGCTTCTTTAAAGGTTGAGGCAGCTATAAAGAGAGGTTAACTAGCATGCTTTTCTGGCTTCTATGAAGCTGAGTGACTGCTGTCTGAGTAGGGCTAACTGCCTCTGGACTGTAATCAGTAGCTTCCTTAAGGTACCACCAAGTCATAAATTGTAACCTGTGAAGCTTTTTGTTTGGTCTTTAATGACGTTGTGTGCTTCAGATAATATAAGGCTTCATGAGTTCAGTTCACCTTCCTGTGGAAGGTAGCAATGATGACTCTTGATTACAACTTCTGTGCTCAGTAAAGCTGGATAATTGGCTCTATACTCGTAGACTTAATGTTGTGTGGTTTCATTTTGGATGTGGAGTGATATACACATTTAGTGTGCTATAGGGAGATTCTCTTACGCTTCCATGTAAAATTGCTGAAGGTGTGCAAAGCATGTGTTTCTAGTATAGTAGTAGCAAAATATCAGTTTCTGCCGTATTTTACAAGTGGGAAACATTAGAAATAAAGTTCAATGCAATACCTGCATAATATCTGGTGTAATATGCTGTGGGATCAGACTATGTATTGAGAAGTTTTCAGGTTCTTAATACTGTTCGTTGGTCTACTGATTCCAGCTATTGAGCTGTATTTGCTCATTTGTGAGGACGAGAGAGGGAACCATTTTATGACTTAATGAAGAGAATGTTTGTACAATGGTCTGCTAAGTGGATAGACTAACTTATGGACAAATTTATTTTGAATAAAGTATTTCTTCAACTCTAAATTTAGAGTTACATAATGAATGAATAATTTTGGTGTAAATTCATGAGAGCTTAGTGTGTGTGTGTGTGTGTGTATATATGTATATATATATATAAAAGTACCCTCTCCTTTTATTTCAATTTTTTTTTAAGATTTTTCAAATCTCTTTTTAGCAAATTTGTCCTGAGGTTTTACATGTCCACAAAACATAACTGTCTTTATGTAACTGGCTTTATAAAGGCTGGAATTTTGTGAATTAGGTCTAAAAATTAGACCTGTGTATAGTTCTTGGGTTACTCATGGCTAACAGGTTGGTTTGTCCTTTGGATGTAGAGACAGGGTATATGTTTTAGCAGTGGGACTTGTTACCCAACCAGAATGAATGCTGCCCGGATTACTGTCTGGCTAGGTGGGCTGTAGTGACTGACCGGGCAGGCTGGGTGTTGTGACTGGCTTCTCAGTCCCTGCCAAGTAGCAGATGGTGCCCTTCAGCCCCCAGAACTGAGACAGCAGTGCCATGGGTTTGTGTAGTCGAGGAAGAAGGAAGAAAGGAAGGGAGAGAGGCAGGGTGAACTGCAGTGTGAATGAGAGGGGAGAATCGGGTTGAATGAGGGATGTTGCCAGCAGCAAATGGCCCACAACAGTCACAGTGCCGATGACATCGTGGTCTTGTGGCCTGCTCAGTTGTGCACTCTTCCTGTAAAGCTGAAAGTGGAGTCCGAGTTGGCTTCAAGGCCAGGCTGGATGAGGCTTTGAGCAACCTGGTCTAGTGGAAGGTGTCCGTGCCCATGGCAAGGGGGGTTGGAATTAGGTGATCTTTAAGATCCCTTCCAACCCAAACCATTCTGTGTTTAAAAACTTGGTTGTCACTTTTAGTTTCACTTCCGATGTGTTCCTGCTTAGTGATTTAGACTTTTACCCTTTTTTTCCTCCTGGGGAGCATGTACCCCTCATGTATGGCTGAAGGGTCATATTTGAAATTAGGCTAGGCTTAATTTAAAAATTAATATTAAGTCAGATGCTTGCTATACTGACTTATTTTTCTTTCTTGTCTCTTTCAGTTCCTTGATGACTTAAACAGATGGAGTCTGCTTCTTATTTCTCCTTTTATTTATCCTGATAAGGTACTTAAAGCAGAACATATAGCTTTTGTGACAGAAAGCATTTCATCACAGACAGATACTTCGCAGGAAGTACCAGGCTCTTCGAAAGAGGTAAGTAGTTCTCTTTGTTTCTTGTGTATAAAGTAATACAGGTGGGTTGCTTGGTAGGTATAAAACTAAAAACTTTAAGAAAAAAAATTCAAGGGCAGATAGATTTTGTATTTTTATGTTACTGGGAATAAAAAGGTAATCTCTTCATTAAAATGCATCAGTGTTATTATTCTAGTTATATTTTATGCTTCAAATAGGCCTATAGACATTTTATTGATTTTTTTTTTTTTTTTTTTTAATATCACACTTCTCTGGATGTGGATGGAAACTGCAGAATTCCATTATGACTTTGGATAAGGCATGTATGGTTAGATGCACTGAATAGGGAAAAATGCCTCAGTAAGAATATACAGAACAAGCATATATTAAGTTATCTGAAATGCCTTTCAAACCTTCAACCAAGTCGTTGTGAAAAGTTGTAACTGAAAGGAAATCTCTCTTGGAAGCATCTTTAACTTGTACTTATAAATCACAATGAAAAGTGTTATACACTTGGAGAATTTTGTCAGTCTGCAGGAGTAAGGCCAAATCAAGCTTTTAATCTCTTTGCTTTTCTATAAATGCACTGGAGGAATGGCAATCCTTCTTGGTTGGAATTTTATAAATTTTGCTTGCCTTTTAATGCATAGAACTTACAAAATGTTATTGAAGCATCCAAAGATATAAATTAAACTGGTACAGAAATCCTCATGGCAAACATACTTAAAAAATATTCATGTCCTAGATACTTAGAAATCTAAAAGCTGTCTTCTCCACTACTGTACTGAAAGTGTGAAGATGTGAATTTAAATGATGATGTTTTAAAACTTGGATTACTTGGAATGTATAGTATCTCTAAACAGATTATGCATTAAAATAGTATCCAGATGCTATCAAAACTTACAATGTACTTGAGGTACCATAGGATCACAGAATGGTTTGGGTGGGAAGGGACCTTACAGACCGTCTAGTTCCAACCCCCCTGCCATGGGCAGGGCCACCTTCCACTAGACCAGGTTGCTCAAAGCCTCATCCAGCCTGGCCTTGAACACTTCCAGGGATGGGGCATCCACAGCTTCTCTGGGCAACCTGTTCAGTGCCTCACCACCCTCTCCGCGAAGAAGTTCTTCCTGAAACAAGTCTCTCTTGCCTAAATTTTGTTGGTCTTATAACTTTTTCCTCACGTGAGGAATGCTTGCTGCCTAGGCATCTCAGTTTGGATGCAGGTCTGAAGGGGGAGGAAGCTTGTAACCCAAAGCAAAAGATAGACTTACGTTCCAGGGAGGAAAAATCTTCTAAGAGGTAAAGGTTGTCATGGTTCTTTCCTAAGGAAGTCAGCTGTGTGTGCTTTCCATAATGGACAGGACAGAACGGTCCTCACTGCTTAGTGGAAGGAGGAGAAATGGAAAGATGTGCAAGCTAGGAAATCACTGGGTTGGCAGTAAAAAACTTCTGGCCTGGTCGCTGGGGTACCATAAAATCGATGGAGCCCTCCCATTAGACAGGCTGGGGGCCATCAATAGGTGCCTTCCTGAATGGCCCCTGTGTAGCACCTACTAAAGGGCCATCTGTCATCCTTTTGAAGTTAAAGGACACCTGTCACATACGCAGGTGCTTGTGGCCTGTCTGTTTCCCTGGATGAGGAACCTACATTTTCCAGGCCACTTGTTCTGGGAGATGATCCAGGAGTCCTTTGCTGGAGTGAACATTGAGAGCAAAGTGGTTGGTAAATAGTCTTATCTAACTTGAATGCAAGAAGAGAAGGACAGACTAGGAATGGGCGCAATTCCAGAGTTGTGCCTGCAATCAAATTTTTAGTACTTTCGCCCTCCATGGAAGCCTGTCAATTCTAGAACAGAGCACGCTTTTGGAGCATGTTGGTCTTTGCCCTCTAGAGGAGCAATGTCCAGGTCAAGTGTCAGGCCAAAATCGTTAATTCCATGAAGGTCAGAGTGTGAGGAGGACTGGAGTCACTGAAAGCTTTTTGAGAACTCTGAGACCTTTTCTGCCGAAACCTGCTGATCTTGCTTCCCCTGGCCGCACATTTCCTTGGAGCATGCAGGAAATAGCCCCATTGGCTGGTTTGTAAATGTTTTTATTGCCTTTGCTGTAAGGCTGTGCACTCCACCCAGGTGGGCCCTATTTCTAGGAGGTAAACTAGAGTGCATGCTGTGCTCTCGACATTGTCTCGGCATGCACCTGGTGAGTGCTGGGCCAGACAGAAGGCTAAGGGAGATTTTGGTAGCAGAGAAGTCCACAAGAACATCGGAGTTGAAGCTCTAGGTTGTTGTTGTTTTGGGTTTATTCTTCAGCAGATTTTTTTTTTAAATCTTGTTTGTTCTGTTTGCATTTTATTTAGAATGGAAAATGGTTGCATTCTTATGTATACATTAATAATTTATTTGATTATTTGATTATTCAAGATCATCTTCGATAGTCCAGGCAAAAGACTGAAACTAAAAGGGAAGAGGACTGCTGATTTATTTTGTTTATTGTTCTTCTGTGTACATGTCACTTCTAGCAAAGTGTTTTAATTCTGCTTCCTCTGGCAGCCAGCTGTTGACACAGACAGGGGGCTGTAAGAACAGATTGCTCCAGTGACCTATGATAATTTCTAGACAGAAAAGCCAGGCTTAGTAGGGCTCGCTGTGATCTGTGACTGGTTTCTGTTGAAACTGAGATGGACACAGAAAGCAGGAGTATAATAATTTCTCATCTCTCAGTAAGAGCTGATGTTTCATTTTGTATTCTGTCAGAATTTTGATGATTTCTAGTCATAGCCTTGGCCTGTTTGAAAGTAGTCTCTGAGGGGTTTTGTTATGTTGTGAAGCAAATGGATTGTTGCATGAGCAGGATTACAGGCCCTCTGTCTTGGCAACAGCCTTTGTGAGATTCTTTTGTGGATTTGCTTTATTTGCACTAGACAGCAATAACTACTTTTTACTTGCTAGCATGTCTAATGTTTTGCTTGGTGCCAAGAAATAAAGCTCAAGAGCATCCATATGTCCTCCTTGCAGTTTCCAGGTGATGTGTGGGTGTTACCTGTTTGTGCCTGTTCAGTGGGTGAGAAAGGATATCCACATGCGGTGTGAGTCCCTTATCCCGCACCACAGAGAGTAGCCCAGAGTCCTGTGCTGAGGAGAATAGCGAGGAAAGCTGGCAACCTATACCATAAATGTATCTGCCATGTTTGTCACTGGTGATTGTGGATTGCGTGCAGTTCGCAGCAGGCCCTTAGAGTTTTGTGCCTTATGACTGAAACTGGACACTTGCATTCCATCTGTGGATGTAACAATAGACTAGACACAGTTGGGAATACTTTCCATCTGGAAAGCGATGGTGTTGCCTTAAGTGATGACCTGGATAGTTTGCTGGGGAAATTCTGGCTGATTTGGTCAAAGACTCCCCCAGTGACAGCGTGGTGAAGTCTGGTGATCCAACTACAGTGATTCACATCTATCAGGTCTGGTGTAGCTATCTTCCAGCAGGAGATTTTGTTGTGCTTCAGAACTGGTCAATACTAATGTGCCCAGAAATACATCCTCTAACTTCGGAGCTGGTATTTGTGGCACAGTTATGGACATGACCTTTCAGAAGGTCATGGAGGTGGAAAATCGCTGTTGTTGCTCTTACTAGTGGGTGATTATGTCTAGGAGTTCAGGACCCGAGTGATACATGTGTCATAAATTTGGGGCTGGCTCTCGCCAACGGTGTGGCTGATTTGAAGCTGCCACTTGGCAGCTGTATCACTATGAAAGTGGTTTGGTAATAGCATGAGAATTGTGCTTTGTCTCCCGGTATTTGGAACATTTTACATGGCAAAGGCTAATTTTTTCTTTTAGGTCATGAAAACAGGTGGTGCTTCATTGTCTCTAAAAATGCCTTCACATGAGAACAACTGGTCTATGTAACTCCTATAAAGGATAAAGGCTGTGGTATCATTTGCACAATTTTTACTGAATTTGGGTGCCTTATTTGTTCTTTTTTTTTCTTTCAGAATTGACTCATATCAGAGTGTTGTCAATTGTCTGCATATTGTTTTGTTAGGTACTGTTGTTTTATAAACATGAGGTTTAAAAGGGGTCACTTTTAGTTATCTGTCAGCAGACAGATTTGTAGTCTTCATTTAACGTCTCCCCCTTTCACCTACTTTTCCTCCATCTGTGTCTCTTATAGTTAAACTTGAAGCTTGTTCTCCAAGATGGTACAGCTGTTTAGTTTGGGTTTAACAAACCTTTTGAAGGTGACAAACCCAAGGTTGTGGCTTTTGTAACGCTTCTTTCCTGGACAGTGGAGTTTTTGATGTGGATAACCAGCTTGAATCTTGTGTGTTCAAGTAATGCTTCTGATAGTCCTTTTGTTAAACCTTAGTAGGTTGCTTTTGCTCTTTTTTTATTGGCCTTTTTTTTTTTGTTTGTTTTAGAATTTGTGCTGAAAGCCGTGTCTTGGAAATAAATACAAATTTAATTTTACTTGTAGAACTTGATAATGCTTTCCTGACATTTTGTGTGTTACTTGAAGCTTTTATAGCCTTGATCTTTGGGGAAGATGTATTTGTACTTCCAGCTGGTTTCAACACTTATTGCGGGCGTTGCTTTGTTTACTTATCTCTGGACTGAATCTTGTAACAAGTATTGCTTGCTACACAACCCTTCCTCAGTGGTTCTTTTGGTTGTATTCGGTCTCATGCCTTTGTAATCGTGAAGGGCATGCTTTTGTGTGAAAGGAACTGTCAACTGAAAGCATTCTCTAGTTGTCTCATGATACTATTAAATGTGGTACTTGTTTTAAACACATCAGGCATCACAGAAACAAGTCTTAAAAGTAGTTCTGCCAATTTAGTATTCTATAATCCTAGTAGTTGCATTTTTTTTTGAAGTACTTACTTTAAAATCACTTCCAGCACTTGGGTTTGCCAGTTGTACCATTTTGGTTTGATAACGTCTCTCTGGCTCTGCCTGCTGTTGGGCTGCTTTTTAATAGAAGAATCCTTTGGAAAGGAAGGGTAGTTTTTATTTGCAGTTCATCTTGCAGACTCCTAAGACCATTGGTATTTTGATATTTTTTTCTGTAACCTTTTCAAACTGAAAAACATACATATGCTTTGTTCTAGATTGTGAAGTGGTCAGACTATTGTTCACCATTGGCGTATAAACCTGGTGAGCCTTATAAGTTAATTGCTGAAGCAAGTGTAGATAATTTCAGTAACCTTGGAATAGCATTCATGGAAGACAGGCTTCAAATGGATAATGGAATGGTGCCACACAAGATTGTTTGTAAGTATCTTCACAAATTGTTTTTAATGGTAGAACATGTCTGTTTCATGGTTATTTTAGGATTCTGTGTATGGTCATACCCACATAAAACCCGATGCTTTTATTTTGGCATGATGTTTGCTTCCTGTTGTCATTCTAGGAAGTTAATCACTTGGTTGCACTACCGTATTTTGTAACAAATACTGTTAAATATAGAGAACCTTGAAAAGTTAGACCACTTTTTGAGTGAGTTTCTCTCTTTAGAGAATGTCTTTCAATGCAGCAGCAGAAGTAACAGAAAATTGGATCTAAAGACTTGGAATAAAACCCCCTCTTTTTCTTTAATGCCTCATAAGCTACTGCCAATAATTAATCACAGTATGATGAGATCTCTGAGTATCCAAGATAGTGTTTAACCTTCTGCTGAATGTATAAATGTCACAAAGGTGGTTAGAAAATATTGTTTCTGTAAGTTTCGTCTGTTAGAATAACTTATCTATTTAAAAAAATTACACAAGGTTTCAGGCAATTGTTCTCTTTCTTCAGATCTGAAATAAAAATGTATCCAAAGCTAAACATAGGTTGAGAACAGTTGCTGTAACTTGGGCATCTTAATCCTTTAGATCCCTGAGAGAAAAGCTCACAGATGCTCTCTAACCAGAAGGATATCCAGGGGAAGAAAAGGAGGATGGTGTCATTGCTAATGGAATGTTGAATTTTTGGTGGATGATTTCTTTAAGGAGTGATTTTAGTGATATGAAAACTATGAGCTATTGTGTCCTCATTAGTGTACTAGTTTCAGCTAAGGCAAGGAGGGAGTTCGTGGCTAGTTCCGCAGAGAGGCGAAGGTAGTAATCATGGTTGCACTTGTAACATCGTTCTTAAATAGAATTGTTGTCTGGGCTGTGGGAAGTCCAAGTTTCACCTCAGGAGATTTGAACTCTTTTCCAGCACTGTTCTAAAAGTGCCATAATATGCAGTCTGTAGGCTGTGCTAGAGTAGTGGGCTTTCCGGGCTAGAGCCACGCTTCTATTTTTTGCTTTTGTTCAGAAACAGTATAATTTCTTCCTGCCTAGGGGATTGGGTTGTGGTTTTTTTTTTTTGTTTGGTTTGGGTTTTGTGTGTGTGGTTGTGGGTTTTCTTGTTTGCTTGGTTGATTTGATTTTTTTTTTTGTTTAATGTAAATCATAGTGCATTTTGAGAACAGCTAGCTAGGTGCAAGAGGGTAGGAATACGTCCACAGATGTATCTGATGTGAAACTCTGTCTCTTGTTGCTGTTCTGCAAAAATAGTCACTCAAGGAGGGGATGGAGGCTGAGAGAGTGCCCAGTCTTTTACTTTTCAGAATGTTATCTGGCTCATTTTGCTTACTGTGTGCATGTTAGAACTGCTCCAGACCAGGCTGTTTGAGCTGTTGGTGGAATAGCATATAGGCTGGTAGCTGTGAAATTCGCCTGGGATGTGAAAAAAAATCTTGCTTCAAATTTCATATCCAGCCTAGGTAAATGGGATATAGTTTCAAGGGAATGCCGGTGTTGTTCAGCAAAGAAAGCGACTGAACTTGGGTCTGGTGTATTGTGCACCAGTTGGTTGTTTTGTTAAGTGTCTCACTGAATTTCTTTGAGAATATAGAAACAAAACCATAGTAAGTTTATTTGGCCTTATGGGAGTGGAAAAGGATTCAGCAAAATTTTGCAAACTTTGATTTGAAGTATTTTCATGCCTCAGCAGCTGGGGAAAAAAAAAGAAATAAAAACCCTCATGAAGAGTATTTTTTCTTTGCTCTGGAAGCTTCATGCTGACAATAATCATCTTTGCCCTTCTTTTCTCACTTATATTTGCCAGAAGTTATTTTATCTTTGCATTTACATCCTTTTCAAGGGGCGAAAGGGGAAGGTTTAACAGTTGTTCTTCTTTGCTAGTTTTCCCTCAGATTCTTAACTCCCAAATCTTGCTATGGGTGGGTATGTCTCTGTTTTTGCAGACTGAAAGCAGTTTGGATTTTGGCACAAGTGAAAGGGAATAAAAAAATCCAAAAAACTTATATACAGCCTTCTGCAGAGACATGGTTCAGTGTCTCTGTCTTACCCAATATCATCACACCATTAGCTTATTTCAAAATAGCAGCAAGAAATTTTCCACTCTGCCCTCTGTCACCAGGGAGAGTGGTTTAGGCTGCTTAAAAGATCAGGGTCAAAAATATTAGAGGGAAAAAGCTATTTTTAATATGAATTTGTGAAAAGCACAACTTATCAGAATTTGATGGCAAGGTTCACTCTGTTACTTACTCGACATGGGGAAGTGTGCAAAGGTGAAATCAAATTAGCACTGGATTAAAATGGTTTATACACGAATTAAAAATTATTTACACAGGGTCAGGGGAAAATGAATCCAAATTGGGTTAGTATGATTTTTTAATATATGTATGTGCACATATATATATGGATTAGGGGAAAAAAAAGGTAAGGAAATCCCTCCTGTTGGGTCACGAGGTTCAGAGTGGACCCCCTTGCTATCTAAACTCCTCAAAGAGAAGCCTAGATGCAGCTGAATCCACTCCTAGTCCCAGACTTGGTCAACAGTTCATGTCTGAGGGATTAGGTGTAGGGATCACAGTGTGGTGATTTTTGTTTTGTGTAACTTTGGGATAGCAGAAATTTTAAAGTATCAGCAATTCTAAGTTCATTAACACTATTAAGATACATCACACAATTAGATTCTCTAATTTCCTAGCGAAAACTAACTATCAGTGAATCAATACAGCAATTTAATCAAGGACTTAAAGTTATTAGCATAAAAGTTGCATACACACACAGATACAGAGATGGATACATACAAAGGTACCTGTTAAAATTACCCCTTGAGTTTGGCGAAATTTTTCACATATGATACCTGTGCATCTCTCTGGGCAAAGATTTGAGTCTCAAAAAGGTTTCAGCCAATGTTGTGAGACCTTCTGATTCCACAAACTTGAGAGTGTGTGATGGGGACATCTCCAAGAGGTGTCCCCATCAGAGGGAGATGCTGGGTGCACCCAACTGCGGTCCAGGAGAGCTCAAAGGCCCTCACTTGGAACCGTTCTTTATAGGATTGCGACAAGATTGACTTTAGACATGAGTAAACTTCCAACCCAGTTACAATCTGGGTTGGTAATTACTGGCACTCTCTAATTGCCAGTAATCACTGGTGCTGATCTTTCCGACTTGTCTCAGGGCTGTCAGCGAAATGATTAGTTATTCCATCCTTATTCCCCACTGAGGCAAGGTAACAGAATTTGTAACCAAATTCCTGGTACACACCATGGCCAGTCAACTGAACGCTGGTATGGTCGGTGCCGTTCCCTACCTTAGCACTGCAAGCGTGTTTGATGGGATCAAGGGACACTTAACTGCCAAACTCCCTGCACAATGGCCAAGGCTTATCAGGAATCTCTAAGGCCATAGAGCGGTCCAGGAGCTGGAGGGGGGAATATGCACCACCACACCCTCCTTAAGAGACCAGTATTTTTTCAAAGGTACTTCCCTTGCTTCATTTTGTCCTTTGCCTGTCCCTCTGTCCCCAGCAAAATAACAAGGTGATGAGACGATGATGAGCGCCGCCTCAGCTTCCCACCCATAGGCTATTGTTCCATTAAGAACAGCTCGGCATTGTGTTCGGTAGCAGTCATGTTTTACTTGTGTGCAAATACTTATGCACTCACAGTAAATGTTGGTTTCTGTAAATGTGCCCTGTAAATACTGTGTTGTGCTCTCAGTCTTCTCTGAAGCAAAGGGTCATTAGAGTAAATAACTCATGTTATGAGTGCAAATTTATTATGTTCTTGGGGGAGGGTTAGGATTTGGTATGTCAATCAAATGAAATTCTTGCTATTATAGATGATTCGTACTGAAATTAAATCTAATTTCTGCTGTGGCAGTGATATTCATCATAGCTCTTCATCTCATTTTTATAACCCCTTTTTCTTATTCTTTAATTCTTCCAGCTGTCCATTTACAGGAATCTACTCTGAAGGAGTTGGCACAGGTGGCACCATCTGTAAAAGAGCAAAGTGTAAGCAGCACACAAATGGATGAAGTAACTCCTGCTGCTACTTTTGGGACTACTGATAAATCAGGATTAGGAGTAGCTGAGTCTGCAGGACAAGGTGAAGAGGAGAAATCCAAGCTAGAAAAAGAAAGTGAGGATGGAAATGAATCTACCAGCGTATCGGACAAAGACACAGGTGCTGGAGAACATCATCACTTGCATCTTTCCAGCTGTCATGAATGCCTGCAACTTGAAAACAGTACTATTGAATCCGTCAGATTTGCCTCTGCAGAAGACATTCCAGATCTTCCTGATGATGGCAATAGCAAACTGGAAGAGAAGAATGATGACTGTCTAGCAAGAGGAATAAAGAGACTAAACCTTGCTGGAAAGCCCCCTAATATATTGATTTATCTTGGCTCTGAAACTGCAAAAGTGAAATTTGAGCAGGTAAAATCAGTGCTTGAGGAATGCCTTGACACAGACAGCTACACCATCTACCAGCTGCGTGAAGAACAAGTTCTGCAAGCACCATGGGTCAATAATGCACTGCTGTTGATCGTTGCCACAGAGGAACCTATTTCAGAGGAGAACCACAAACAATTTATGAATTTTTTATCTAAAGGTGGAAAGATTCTAGGGTTTTCTTCATCTTTTACATTTGATGGCATACAAATAAAGAAAAGAAAAAACAGACTGAAGACTGTTTGTGAATTAGTGGTCTCTAAGATGGACAGCACTGAAGTTAAGTTAAATCTTTTGGTCAGTGGCTGTGTTTTTGAGGAGGTGATGAAGGACAGTACCAGCAAAGTGAAGACATTGAGTCGATTAAATAATGCTGATAAAGATCCGGTTATTGTTTACCTGACTTACGGAGACAGTGGAGGAGAAGCAGTTCTTTCTCAGGTAATGTGTATGCGGAAGCATTAATTTGCTCAGTGCTACATGATGTTGTGGTACGCTAAAAAAGTTCACTTGTTCCTGTTGCATGCTCTTGGGGATGTTTGCCAGGGGCAGGTCTCGTGAAGATGGATGCCTCAGTGAACGTGTAAGGACTCAGGATGGTTTTCACTTGATCCTCAGGAAACTTAAAGAATGGTGGAGAATGTCACTGCTGTTCCTTTTCCTTGTTTTCACCATGTAGCCATGCACATGTAGATCATGCAAGACCACAGTGGTGGTAGAGGAGAGAATCGATTTGGGTAGTAAGCAAGCTTCTTCAAGGGCAGAGCTATCCTTTTCTGCCTGCTGCAAGTTGTGCAGTGATGCAACTGTGAGTTTTGCAGACTTTGGGAGGTGGGAGCAGGAAGAGCAGAGTTGTTGGTGGCCTTGGGGTCCCAAAGCTTATACTGGCAAGGTAAAAGAAGAAACGTCCTGACAAAAAATATGAACCATAGTGAAGCAGAGAGTCAGGAGAGGATGTAAAATAAGCCTTGCAAGAAACTTGGAAGACTTCTCCTCCTTAGGGTTAAGGTAACCAGCACTTCTGGAAATCTGGCTAGTGAATGAAAGTCCAAGCCTCTATTACATGTTGCATGCCATGTCTAGAAAAACGGCCATACAATTCTTGCTTGAGCATGTGACCACAGAGTAAAGGTTAGTTTCTGACTGCACTGAAATGGCACTGTTCATTTAATTCTCTTGGTTATTTTTTTGCTGGTATTGCTGCCGTTTTCTCAGTTATATTCTGTTTGTATCTTAGTGTTGTTAATCAAGCAAGCCATTTTATGGGTTTTTTTATCAGTGTTTTGATTAAGGCTAACTTCTAGATGGATGCTAGGTTCATGATGTTGGCCTTGCTGTTCTGTCATTTAAAAAAAAAAAACTTTTATTCAACTTCAGTGCATTTTTTTCTATTTAATAGAAAAATTTAAATTCTAAAACTTGTTTTTTGTTTTCTAAACCTTGACGTGTTTTCAGTCAGAGATGTTGCTAGGGTGTTTTTTGTTGGGTTTTTTGGTTTTTTTTTTTTGTGGGGAAGGAGGGAGGATGGGCCAGGGGGAGGAAGAAGTGGGGAATGTAGTCTGCTGGAAGCTTGCTTTCCTGTTTTCTGAGTCTTCCTCAAGACTTTAAACTTTTAAATGCTTAAATGTTTCTGTGCCTGAAAAGAGCTCAGGGTACCTTGGGGATAGAAGTGGGAGAGTCTAGAATGAGCCAAAATTTAATTAATTCCACTTAAATATAATAATATCCCTTTAAATGGGTACTTTTCTGGAATTATGGTTAGAAAACTCACAGCCTCTCAAAAAGTTACAGATAAATTCAAGTATTTATAATAACTTTTGTTATTATTACTCACTGTCTTCATGGTTAATGGGTAAGTTTCCATGGCTTTGTTTAATGGTGAATGCTGGTCACTGATTATGTAAATATTCACAGATACCTGGCTAAAGGTTTGAGTGATAGACAGGCTGATAAGAGGTATCATGAAGTTTAGAAAATGTCTATGCCCTGGACGTATGCATCTACCTGGGTGTATAACCTGTGCTGTTTAATCTAGAGAGATTTCAGCCATTTCTTCGTAAAACTTCTAAAGTCTGCCTGAAGGCAGCTTGCACGTTTTGAGCTAGCCTCAGTAGGAGCAGAGGTAACCATTTTCTTTTTAGCATGGCTAAAATTGTATCACTTTCCTACTCTGTCTCTGCTACAAGCAGCACACTGAGGAAAGAGACCAAGATTTATCTACTAGTATTTAGGCAGATGAGGAGTATAATGGAGACATAGCTGAACAGATGTTATGAAAGATGGTGGGACCTATGTTTACCAATATTTTAGTTACAGGAGAACTTTCTCAGAAGCCCAGAGCACTTAAATTTAACTGCTCACGTATCAGATGCCACGTGCTCTTGTAGCAGTTACGTAATTCAGAAGTATTCATCTGGTTTCTTAGAAGTGTTTTTCTCTCTTATCAGTTTATCAGATTAAACCTGCTAGCTTTTTGGAAGCTCTCTTATACATAGTAGCATGTTTATGGCTTTATGTACGAAGCTTTGCCACCCATGTGCTGTATGTTTGTACTAGAAAATTGATTAGATACTGTTGCTATCCATTTCTGCAAGTTCCACGGTAAAACCTGCTTTGCTGTACGGTTTAAATGGACCCTTCTGCTGCAGTAAAACTTAATACTGCAGAGGTTTTCCCCAGAAAAAGGGCATTACAGCATAGCTTCAAAAATCAGATTAAAAGGATTAGTGTGTCATTTTATAATTCTAAATGACTTCCAGTCTGGATTTGAAAAGCCTTATTGTTTTCTCTTCAGGGGACTGGTAGTGACATCAGCCATTAAATATTCTGTCACAGACCTCTTGTTTCCCTTTCTTCTGCATTCCTTTGTCATCCTTCCCCCCCATTTCAGCATATATCCCTGAATTTCAGTAAAGTAGATCGAATATGAAAGATGAAAACATTAAAATATGCAAAATTGGAGAAATTAACAAAGATAGTAACTTGTGATTTTTCGTTACATGAATATACATATAGCAAGTAGATCTAATATGAAAGATGAAAACATCATTAAAATATGAAAAATTGGAGAAATTAACAAAGATAGTAACTTGTGATTTTTCGTTACATGAATATACATATAGCAAGGTACAAAGGTTTCTATGTATCTCAGAACACTTATTTAAAAAAAAAACAAAATCTCCAAAACCAAAGAAGAAATCCCCACACCATACAGAAAACAAACCATAAAGGAGGTGTAGATGGGCTTTTTTTTTTTTCCTTCTGGATTCAATTTCTACTTTTAAGCATTTGCTTCAGGCTTGGGATGTGCTTCTCTACAAGGTGCTGGTCTAGGTTTCTTAGTCCTCTCATGGACAGAAGCTTTTCTTTATCTGCACTGACTGCAACTTCATTCTTGTGACACAGTAAGAACTTGCTCAGCCTGAGTTCTGCGTATCTTGTGCAATCTCTGATAAAGCTTTTTCAATTTTGATGTAAAACTGCTCTTGTACAAGCCAGAATATGACCTGCTGTTGGTTCTAGGTTGCTAGCAGGCACAAAAAGCAGAAGTAGTTGAAACTTCTAATAGCTTGCTTAACTCTTCCAGGAGAAGACAAACTTTACTAAGAAAGCATATTTTATGTATGTTTTGGAAAAATTGTAGTGTACTGGCAACTATGATCCCTGAATTGGAAACTGTAAATATATAGGTATTCCTTAGCTTATTAGGATAATAAGGCCCTAGTTGTGTCGACATGATGAAGACATGAGAACCTTTTATATTGCACTAGTAACACTGGATAGTTCAGCAACCACAGCCAGGACAAAGCTGGTTTTGGAACTGTTGTGCTTATCTCTCTGCCACGCTAAAATGGGTAATACCAACAAAATCTTTTTTTTTATTCCCTTTGCACGTATCCTGCCAGGCACACTTTGAACTGGATATCAATTCTATGGATGTCCAAACTGAAGAGGATTTTAATTTGCTTAAGATAAGCAATACCAAGAGATATGAAGTTCTCAAGGAGATCCTAGTATCACTTGGCCTGAGTTGTGAATTAAACGAAACTCCTATGCTAACACCTATTTACCTTCTCTCTTCTGATGAGGTAAGGCTTCCACTTACACTGCAGGTGTTTGAGATTTACCTCACAAGAGAAATTCAGTGTTCACTTAAATAGACCTTGTTTCTTATGTGGTATTTTTGTTTGGAGGGGTTTATGTATGTATAACAGGTAAGCAAAAAGTTGTATTTCTACTCTGTCACTATTTTCTTACCTGATAGTAGTGGTTTTGATTTTAGCCACGGGGGTCAACTGTTCAGATATATTTGCTGTATTTCTGTTAAGAACTCTTATGCGTATTTGCATGCTTCTATAATATCAAAACACAAGGCTGTGTAAGCTGGAGAAAGAACTGATTTAAAAGACAGGATTTGTTTTTCTTTAAAAATGTGTAGTAGAAAGTTCTGTATAGGCTGGCAACAAAACCCAAATTATGGAGAATGGTGTGTGAGACCAGAACTGAAATACCCGAGTAAGTAGAGGAGTGTGTGATTACACAATTAAGAGCTTTATTCCTGAGGAATCTGGAATGTTTACTGGAAATAGAATAACTTCTTGTAATTCAAATAGTCACCTGACTATTCCGAATGTCTCAAGTTGAGACATTTCTATAAAGAATGGTGAAGAACATATAAGGCAGTAATTTTAACTTCTTTTTTTTAAACATGACTTCAAATACATGAGAAACTTATTACAGTGATCTGAAGGGATGAAGCAGTAGGTGATTAAAAAGCAATACAGGCTAATCAGACTCTTTGAGGTTGAGGTTTCCAACCGATATAGTGCTGTCACTACTTGTCTCTAGCATGCTTCTCTGATTCCTGCTCCTTTTCTGTACCACCCTTACATTAGTACCAAAATGAGATGTGTGTCTTTAACTTCACAGAATCACAGAATGGTTTGGGTTGGAACGGATCTTAAAGATCATCTAGTTCCAACCCCCCTGCCATGGGCAGGGACACCCTCCGCTAGACCAGGTTGCTCAGAGCCTCATCCAGCCTGGCCTTGAACACTTCCAGAGATGGGGCATCCACAGCTTCTCTGGGCAACCTGTTCCAGATAGGAACTTATAGATTGGGAATATGCAATATGTGACTATATTGCATGGCAGGCAAGTCAGTGGTAGATTCAGGCAAACTGACTAAAATACTATTAATAGGTGTATCTGTAAATGCAAATCTGCATTTGTCTTCTATGTCTGAAGATACTGCTGAAACTCTGCTGGTGCATTAAGTAATGCCCTCGTATGGCAACTCTGATTGGATGTAACAGTTGATCAAAATTAGGCAAAATGCAGAGAGCCTTTTTTTTTTTAATTCCCCTTTCACGTGTGCCAAACTCTGCCAGATCTACTTTACAATGGTGAAAATGCTAGTTGAAGTGCTTCCATCTAGCCTTCTGCTTGAAGCAGAGCTGTTGCCTGCACTAGATCAGGTCAGCCGTGCCCTTAATCTGGTTGACTCTTGAAAACTTTGAAGGGTGTGTGCTACAACCTGACTGCAACCTATTCCAATACTGCTGTACCCTTCTAGTGAATATTTTTTTCCTGATGTCCAGCCTGAACCTCTCAGTCTGCAGTTTATGGCTGTTGTAACTTTAATATACTGTCTGGCACTACAAAGAAGCATTTGGCTCTGTCATTCTTTTAACTCTAAGTAGTTACAGGTTGTTATTAAATCACTCCTTAGCCTTCTCTTCGCCAAACTGAACGATTCCAACTTTCCCATCCTCTTCTTACAGATGTGTTGTGTACCCCTAACCCCTTTGTGGTTATTTTCCAAGGAATTATAATAAGCAATTCCTTGCATAAGCGCAAGTCTGCTTTCCCAAGACCTAACTCTGCTGCTTCCCTTCTCAGCCTCCCTCCAGATCTTGGATTCTCGTGCTTGCTACAGCCAGTGCTGCTGTCTGACCAAGTAAGAAACAAGTTCTTCCCTGTCTGGGATCAGGAAATCTGTAAAAATTATCTGTTTGTGTGGCAGATGTGGAAACAAAACTAAAACCTGTGTAGCCTTTTTGACTAATATTAAATGTGCTCTATACAGAAGGCTTGTATTTTATTGAACTCATCCTATTTTGTTCTCTTCCTTCACTCTTTTTCATGATTGTTTTTCCTATGCACTTGCAGTTTTCAAACATGCCATGCATAAAAACAGTTAGCTAATTTCTATCCGAACTTGCCATCTAGTGGCATATTACAGGTTGCAGGCTATCTATTAAAGATACTTTTGCAGTGTATACTGTATAGTTAAAATTTATACCAAAAATAGGTTTTTTTAAATCTTGTGGGTTTTTTTTCAATATGGTAGTGTTTCTGTGCTTTTATGTGTAGTCATTGAGACGATGTCTTTCACTTTGGCCATGATCTGCTTCCAGAGTATTGTGTGAAATGGAAGTTACAACTTGTGTGTAAAAACTACAGTTAATAATGAAGAGATAATGTATTAAAATAAATAAGGTGTATGTAATAGTTCAGCTTTATAACAGGTTACTTCTTTTTCTCCATATATCGCGTTGTACGTAGGTCTTGCTTTCCTAGAGAGCAAGGAGGTACCATAAATGTACCTGACCAGTGAATAATTTGAGGTAATACTTGAACTTGTTTAAGATCAGAATGAGTAGTATTGGAAATGGAAGAAAATGTCCTGCAAGCCCTAGTACTCTTGAACTTCCTTGGGTTTTTTAGCACTGTTTGTTTGGAGACCCTGTCCAGTACAGGTTACTGGGGTTGTATTGGATAACATGTTCCTTCTCTGAGAGATTATCCAAACAATGCTTATTGACAGCAAGTGATTTTTCTTTGGGTTTTTTTATGCTTCCCTGTAATAAGAAATGTCATAATGAGTCAACTAATCCACCCACCAAAGGGGTGGATTGGAAACATTTTTCCTCCATGGGATTCATATTCTCAAGTTTTATTTTCAAGTTTATGTGGTTATCATGTATCTTAAAATTACGGTCTTACTACATGGATTAAAAAAAGCCAATAAAATATGAGCAGAGCTGGCATTATCTTTCTGGAAATCAGTGTAACTTTAGAATTTAGGGAGACAATTTCTTTAATTCCTTAAAAAACCCAAACTACCTCTGAGGAGAAGAGTTGAATTTTGACTTTGTGTCCAGGATTTAATATATGTTATCTTTTACTTTTTTGTAAGTTTATATCCATTAAAAAACTTGGGCCTAGTTTGATGTATGAAAAAATAAGTGAAGGTGTAATTATACATAATTTAATTTGAATGTAGTCTCATTTTCTTTGAAAAAAGACTTGGAAAGGCAGATGTTAATGTTTCATGAGGAGTTGTGAACTTTGTAATGCACTGCTTGCCTTTGGCATATGAAAAGAAAATTTTAGTTTAGGGGGGAATGTAGGAGATCTGTGAAGAAATATTTAAACCTTGACAGTAATTAAGTTGAAAATTACACAATTAAATTTTATCATTCAAGAAAAATACATTAGGAACAGGATGGTCAGGCTTTTAAAGAAGTGATATATTGGCTGCATATGGCTTAGCCAGACTAGATTTATGGTGCAGATACTGTTCTAGATTTCCAGCTGGCAGAGATTTCCAGCTGTGGTCTATTCAAGTTGGAGATAGGGTGAGTTGGAGGCTGTACTAAATAGGCACTGACTCTTACTTTATCTGTTGAATATCTTTCTAAACAGCAGAAATTAGACCATATTATTACTGCTGTTGGGGTAACAATATTTAGGTTACTTGTCAGGTAAGAGTTAGAATGTCAGATTGAGATGTGAAACTATAAAATACAATTTATTACTTTTTTGTGTGTGTTGCAGTTCTTAAATAATGTTACTGCTATGATTGATTCCCCTATCTTGGGGATTTTCAAGTTGGTTTTTTTGCGGGGGGGGGTGGTTGGTTTTGTTGGTTGTGGGCTCACCTGGCTTTTTCTTAAAATGTCCACAGGCTCCACCAGTCTGAGATTGGAAATCTGGTAATGTTGGGGTTTTGAAATCAAACAAAAGCTCTCGTATCTGAATAATGGATGAAAATGTCCATCTGTTCAGGGGTCTAGATCTACCATGTAGCATTATGCTAGTCAATCCTCGGCCAGTGCTCGCTGCTGTTGGTGTTGAATGATTGCTGTGAAAGTGTGCACTCTATTCCTGATCTACTTTCTTGCAAATGGAGTATAAGGTAGAGGGCCTGGAAAGTAACAGCACTTGAGGCAACTCTTTCATCACAAGACTTTTTTCACTAAGGCTTGCAAGTATGGTGTGCTTCAGATACACATATATGGATATTTTTAAATTCAGTTGACAGGGAAAAATCCTTATTATATTGATACAGTGCTACAACAACAATGAAGGCAGTGTTTGAACCAAAAGCAATATACTGTGACAGGCTTTTGATGGTTAAAAGTTTAGTTAAATCTGCACAACTTTTTGGTGTTAAATGTAGTTTTAGAGGCAAATACTGTTATTGAAACATAGCAACTTCTTTTTCCTCTTGATCTGATGTAAAGCAGTTGAGCACATTGTAGACTCATACACTGCTATAAAAAGAAAATTCTGTGTCACTGGTGCAGGGGGAACTCAAACAAGGGTTGATCACTCTAAGCCTGTTGTCTGGCATCCATATGTCCAGTGGCAGCTTCAAGCATAGAGATCTGATTTTTTTCTGCAGCTTTGCCTTTAAACGCTCGAATATTTACTTTTTCACATTGCCATCTTAAAGGATAATTTTTCAGACATAAATGCTAGGTTTGTATTTTATCGCCATAAGTTTCAGCCTAACATCTTCTAGGTTTCAAAACGAGTTCACTCCTTGAAGAATGAGAGAGATTTGTTAGAATAGTGATTATTTCCATTAGCAAGGGTACTACTCCTACACATTTGCTGATCTGAAGCCTCTTGAACTTGACTACTAACTCCTCAGGCTGTGTAAGGCTGAGTCACTTTTTTCAAATGGATGGCAGCCAAATGATGAAATGTAATCTATCTTCATTATTTTGACTCAGCTAGTAACCATCTTTTAAACAGTCTGTTCTTCCAGAATAATAGTCAGTGCAAACAGAGTGGC